ATATCAATTTTTTATCTGTTGTTTCCGTGATTTTTTGATATATTAGCAAATACTTGTCTGCAATCACACTCAATTCCCAGCCAGTTACCATCTTTGTCTGGCATTTACTGCTGAGTAAGTATAGCATTCAATGGATTTTCAGGAAAACAATATTTTGTGGTTTGGCCGAGAATAAAAATGAGACAGGAACTGAAACTAAAAGATGCTTAAACGCTTTTCAGAATCACTTCTCAATACACATCTAGCATTTGGCAAAAATACCAAACACCACAGATCCGACTTAAAAAAACATCAGTTTCTTCTGATTACAATCAATTTGCAGATGATCATTTTTTGTTCATTTAAAATCTGCAGCATGACTTTTCTTAATTCTTTTTTCACATGAGCATTTAATGACTAAAATAATAAGATTTCTGTTGTCTACCCTAAATGAAGTTCGATTTTTAACCTTACCGATGTAGATATATATGTTTACGGCAACATTTGCTTTTGATTAAGATAAAGAGAGAAAGAATGTCGATCTCTCTTACAACACTTTCTTTATAAGAAGTCAGAATTTGGGCAGTTTGAAAAAAAGATCTCACACAGTGTAAATAAAAGTGTCAGCGTTGCAATGCAGTAGTGAATTGTTGAATCCATCTGATTTGAAGCCAGTAAATCCAGTGTATCAATTAATACTGGAGATATCTGCATAATAGATAAGACTCAAAACACAGATTACTCTCACAAACTACTGAACATCCAGATGAGCCACTTCACTGGTTCTGTTATCATGTACACGGCCACACCCGAGGGCTCAGAGCTCGTTCACTTATGATGAAAAGCTCCTCATTAGCATGGAATACACACTGTGACTCTAATGTCCTGCTGAATCTTTAAGGCCTGTGTTAATTGATCCTTTTCAAGGAAGCTGAAAGTCTAAGCATTAAAGGTTCAGTGTGTAGCATTTAGTGACATCTAGTGGTGAAGATTCATGTTGCAGTTGAACAACCATCACCTCAGCCTTAAAACATGAAAGGGAACCTGTGGTGGCTTCAGTTGTCATAAAAACTCAACACTGAAACTTTAATAACTCCTCTTAGAGTATGTGGATGTTTTTATACTCCATTCGCCCTACTGTCAAGTACTACAACCCATCATATACAAAAAGGCACAAAAATATGAATAGTTAATAATTAAAGGAAAAGTACAGGTCTGGTCCATCTCAACGCTAAATCTTTAAAATATTTATATCATAGCATCAGCATGTAGGTGGAGGTGGAGCTACCTTTACCTACTGCTTCATTTACAGGAACACCAGATTAACTGATGAGATTAATGGCAGCGGAAGTTTTGGTGATGTGTTTTGATCTTTTTCTTATCTTTTGTTTTTTTGTGATTTGAGACATCAGACATCAAAAAGGTTGGAGACCACAGGTTTAATCTTTAACAAAGTGTTGCATTTTATATGCGTTTTATTATCTGCATAAATCATAACATTGTAACTTAAGATATCAAATAGAATTGAGTGGTTAAATTGCTGGTTTAAAGTTGTTCTTTTTGCTATGTTTGTAGTTTTATTTCAACGTGCTGATATTTGGGTTTTGGACGTTGATAAAGAACCACAACAGAGACATTACAAACTTTGCAAGCTACCAAAACATTTAATAATCTACTATAAAACAAATCTAAAGCTAGACTCAAGTAGCATTAAATTACAATTGAGATCATTAAAACCAACCCTAAATGTATTTAAGACCTGGTATGAAATAATTTTAAATTCTGATTATTGAATTTCACACTTTTTAAGGCCCCGCAGAAACCATGTTGACCGGAAAGCAAAGATTTGTAAATTACAACTGGAACTTCCTTAAACAAAAACCTCGGAATTTGTATTGGCACGGTTTCAATCTTGGCTCAGTTTTTTTCTATCCATTATACCATTTTCTGCCTCATTCTGAACTCACATGTATGACAGGTTTGAATGTTTTTTTCTAAATCTTTTAAAGATCTTTTAACGACCTCAACCGTATGAACAGAAGACACAGGACAGAGACTAAATGAAATAAAATGCCATTTTATTGTTCAGCCGTGTCATAACCTCGTCTCCAAAATAAGAACAGCAGGACTACAACTGTTTTTCGTCAACCTAGCTACCCCTTGACAGCACATAAAACTGGGTTTTATTAGACCACCAATGATAGCGTTAAAGACTTTTCTATCAGACATCCAATGATAGCATACAAAATAGTTGTTAACCTACCAGTGATACTGTATATAAAACACTTCTAGATTTATCCCCAACCCTCCCTCAATTTCACCCATACCCCTCTTTAGAACATTTGTGACACTGACATATTTTATGCTTAAACAAGCACATATTAAGAATGCATAATTCTCCATTTCTGAGATTATAAAAAAAACTACACAATGTTACACTTTAAGTCAGAGTACAATTCAACTGATTATTAGTGTTCTACACATTCGGCCATAAACCAAAGGAACATTGTATAATATCACTATAACTTAACACTACATGTAATATACGTTAAAAAAAATTACAAATGATTAGCATTGAAGAGAAAATGAAGATGGCTAGTGTGAAGGCAAGCTGGGTCAGTACCATAACAGAGAATGAGTAATACAAAAAGAAATAAAAAAATAGAATAAGAAAAATAGAAACAAAAACTGATAAGAATACAGGCAAGGCTAAAACATGTGTTTCAAACTTAAGATCCACCTCATGTGCACTCATCCATATAGGTAACCTGCTCCAAGACCTCCATTGTGCGATTCCACATCTCTGATACTTTAACCCTTTAATTCTTTCTTACCCCTGTTTCAACTTGCTTTAACATTCCCATGGCAACCATCTTCTTTGTTTTCTTGTGTCAGGCACTTTCCAAGACCCCTTATTCCTTTCATTACCTTCAACAACTCTACAGGCCAATCATAATGCTGCTTCAGACAATAGAGGCCAATCACAATGCAGGTTCTATCAGAATACAACTGCAAAAGAACACAGGTCGGAAAATATGAAGTCAATGTGCTGCCATTCAAATAGATACTTGTTTTCACTGTGAACTAGTTATTTAAGAGTTTTGTGGAAGTCTGCCTCACCAATCCTACAGGTCAGTGTCAAACCAGGCCAGCTGGTTGCTGTCCATCAGGTCCTGGGTGTGGCCGAGGTCCGGCAGCGGGTCAGTGTGGTGGCCCAGGTCGGGTAGAGTGTCAGTATGATAGTCGGCGCCCTCCATCATGGGGTCTAACAGGGTGTCCTGGCCGTAGGCTGATGGGTATGCCCTGTAGGCTCCATCTGTAACAAACAAAAAGCTTAATAACCGCTGCAAAACATACACACCACACAGACACATTCATACAATTTAATGGGCATAAACACAGTTTTTATTTCAGGTTGAAAATCAACTGAATACACAAAATGCTTTTTGAGGCGAATCACGTAAACAAGAGGTGAGAGCTACAGTAGGGATTTCATAAGATATAAGAAAAAAAGCTATTTACCATCCTGCCTGTAAGCCAGAGGGTCCCCCTGAGCTCCCATATCCAGCCCCAGGTCTCCAGTCTATAAAAAGGCAAAAGAGTGAAGTGTTATAAGACAACATATATGGAGGAGTGACGGTCTCTGTCCCAGCTTTATTCACTAATTCTATACTGTAGGTACGGTACAATTTTGACATAACTACTGTGGTTACTTCAATGTGAAGACACGATATAGATGACCAAAATCAAATGTCCCCATATACATTATCTGATATTGAGATAAACATATCACATTTTCTGTGAATGTGGATTTGATTGTGTATACTGAGTCAATGTCTTCGCACCAGTTATCATCCTCGAGTGATATTTTTGCAATATGTTGTGGTGTGGGCAAAAGCCTCTTACAACATCTGAGTCTGGAGTTTGTTTTGAGAACTTTACTGTACTTTTGTTGCCCTCGACCGCAGGCTAACACTCAGCACCTGATATGAAAGATATTTTGTCCCTGGCTGTAGCAGTTTGATTATAAATTTGTCCGTGTACCTCATTCCAGGCCATAGGCTCAGTTCTGAACAAAGAGCTGGTCAGCTCCACCGACAGACGTTTCTTGTAGTCCTGGGGCTTGTCCTCAGACATGCGGAACAGGACAGCTGCAGCGTAGGTTGCTGCAGGAGAGAATGCATCACAACACAAGTCAAGTAATTAGCTCTGACAATCTGAAATGTGTGTAGTCTGTATTTGTGCACATTTACTCACCAACGCCCTCATTGCGGGAGTGCAGCAGCTCAGTGAGCGGTGCAGTGGCTCCTTCAGCTTCAATTGCCTCAGCAGCTTCTTTGTCCTGTGCCAGTTCACACAGAACACCTGCTGCCACACGCTGGATATTCTCTACTGGAGAGTAAAGCAACTGCAGGAGGCAGAAATGTAGTTTAGACAAGACAAAGTTGGTGATATGCACATTGTGTGAAAGGAAATGATTAATAAAAACACTGCAGTGACATTTATATGTAGTCGACTTAATACTTCATGAAAGTTTTTATCTTTGTCTATAAGATTTTACATTTGAAGGTTTAGTTTTACCTGGACAAAGAGTGGAATGGTGTTGAGTCCTCTGATGACAATTCTGTTGTGGACGTCCCGAGCCAGGATGTGCAGAGCTCCTGTGCAGCCTTCCACGATTTCCTCCATACGCACACCCTCCTGTATATGTGAGCAAAAATGAGATCAGTTCGGAATGTACAAATCAAGACATTTTGAGGGATTGTTGGCTTGGTTACATACCACAAACTGCTGCTGGTTGCCTCCCATGCTGGTACGCCTCTGGGTGTCCTGGTGAGCCCTGACGAGCAGTTGGACCAGGCGGGGGATGGCTCCCTGCTCACGCAGAGCACTGTGGTTGGCTGGGCACAGAGCCAGGTTCCGTATCAGACCAACTGTGGCCTAGATAGGACAAAAATTACAGGTCAATTACTGGTTGGTTGAAAGTAAATCCAATGATGTCAGCATATGGAAAGTTAATGGACCTTATAGTTAGTCTGGGGAAAGAAGTGCAGGTTTAGAGAAACTGAGAGGGGCACTGACCTTGATTAGTGGCCAATGGGATGGAGGGTGCAGGAGTTTGACCACCACAGGCAAGCCGTAATGAAGGCGCACAGCGTTCTGGGCCATCTCAGCATCCTGGTGGCGGGAGGTCAGGTGACGAAGGGCACAGACAGCTGGCTCTGTGATGTCCTCCCTGTCGCCAGCCCGAAGCACTGTTCGCACCAGAGCCTCAATTCCCCCAACCTGAGATAAGTTCAATTGGATCATAAGTTATTATATATAAAATTAGACAAGGAATTTAAAACAAAACACAAAATCACAGTATCTCAAAAAGATATTAACAGTAATACTAACCTGGCAGACCATAAGTTTGTTACTGTAGTTGTTGCAGGTCAGATTGGAGAGGATTCCAGCAGCACATGTCACAACATTGATGTCATCACTGCCCAGCAGCTGGACCAGGGTCCCCAGGAGACCCTCCATTCCCTCCTGATGAGAGCAGAGGATGGGGAAGCAGGAACAGAAACATGAAAAGGGAAAGATTGCACGCATTTTTGTTACACTATCAACACATTGATGAATGAGCAGTTGTTAACAGTGAATCTGGGGATCCATGTTGTCAGCGTTTACGATCACCGACAATAAACTTGTATTGTACCTGTTTAGTGGCAGCATCTGAAAGATTCCTTAGAGTCCAAAGGCAGTTCTGGACCAGACGCTGGCTGGGGTCTGTCAGGTGAAGCCCCAAGGCCTGCATGCCACCTACACAGATGTCAAACAAACAAATAATTACATTGGAGCATTTTTATCACAGGTGCAAACGACAAGTACAAAATTCATCTTACATCTGTAATGAGTAAGGTCAGAAAACAGTGGGGGGGAAAAATACTGTTTAGCGTTTTCATTTTATTTGTACGTACCAGCCTCAACGATGGCAGGCTTGTTGCTTGAGCAAACAGAGAGCACCTTGAGCACCCTGCTTGTGGTCCACAGCAGTTTTTCATATGTGAATGTTCTCATGATGTTGACCAGGGCTTGGGGACCACCACTGGCCAGAATGATCAGCTAAACAATTGAAAAAAGAAAAATCAAGACAGGTTTTTGTTTGTACAAAAATGTCTACAAACAGCCAAGTACTTTAAGCAGACAATGGAGAGCATACAAACTTGATTACTCAATTTAAATGCAATGTTCCAATACCTTGCTTTCCTGGTTGCCATATGCCAGAATCTGCAGGCAGTCAGTAGTGATTGCCAGGAACTTGACGTTAGTGTTAGACAACAGGGCCACCATCTTCTGCAGTCCTCCAGCTAGACGCACCGCCATCTTGGCCCCTTCCTGATGCAACAACAGGTTGTGGAGCGTGGTAATGGCGTAGAACAACACACTGTCCACTGGCGAGCTGGAAAAATCAATAAAATAACGAGAAGGTTAATCACCTTTTAAAACTGGTGTTTCTAATAAAAACAACCTCTTACCACAAAGTAGAAGGTTATCCTACATTAGGCATAAATACAAGATACAATTAGTTTCTGTCAAGACTTAGCTCAGCAAATAACGCCATCAATCACATTTAGACACCATATACTTGCTTGATGGTAAGGATGCAGTTTGCAATGACGGGAAAAAACCTTTTCCCCCAATCAAGAAGTGTTGAAGATAACAGGCTTGATCGGTCGCAATCATCTAAGACTGTGAAACGACTACCCAAACACACATACATGAGTGCAGCAGGGCCATCACACGCTGGCTGAACTTGAATTTCACATAAAATGTTGGATTAAAATCAGCGTGAAGTTGAGACATTTAGTCCACAGAGAAACACTGAGTGCAGGGGTACTTCCGTCTGGTTAGCAGCCCTTCCACATCAGCTTATTTGAATGCTTGAAATAGCATTTTTCTTACCTTTTTAACTGAGTAAAAATGTATCTTAATTACTTGCATGTAGGGCTTTTTGGCTACCTTTCACTGCTGGGATGATAATGCAGTATGCACTCGAACAGCAAAAACTGAACCCTTTCTTTTTTTGCTTCACATCAGGATTTCAACACTACCAAGTTAAACTTGAGACAAGTGATGAAACCTGCAAACAACAAATCAAAGGCAATAGCATAGTGCCCTCAAGTAATGATTAGCTCATCTAACCAGCTACTAAAACCACCATTTTTAAATTACTATGAATACTTGGGAGCAATAAGCCACTGTGTTTCCTGTACTCCAGATCTGCACCAACAATCAAGGAACAACTGACAGAAAAAAACACTTATAGGCACTCTCCAAGCACAACAAAGAAACTCAAACACAATAAATGTGATGGAAACCTGTAAGTGACATTATGATGTACACATTTACTACACTTAAAGGGTAAAATTATTATTCATTCAAACTCATTCAGGTACCAGCTCATATGCTCTCTGCATTTGAAGTGTAGTAATGTGATTCCAGGTGGGAGTTCAAACACACATGCGACATCCAACAGGTCACGACTTGCTCAAAGGATAACTGTTTTTGCTGTGAGTGTGTTGGTTTTTAATGGTGACTACAAAGAATAAAACAAAGAGGGAAGACATTACGGCAGTTTTAAACTAGGTATTCTGTTCTTTGTGAAGTACGGTGGTTGGTGAAGGAGTTGGTTATTTGAGCATAATGCTGGAGCTTATATCAAAGCAGTGATTACTTAAAACAAACATCTTACCAGTTATTAGCTAGTGGGATATAGTGAATTTGAAGGCTGTAAAATTGTATTAGCGCTGCTTTCTTACACAGACAACTATAAGAAAGGTTCTCAACATTCTTGCTGAGACATTCAAACCATTTTAATACATTCAATTGAAAGCACATTGATTTGTTCCTGTAATATATTCGAGAGAATTAGTACGACTATTTCTCCAGTATCTTACCCAAGCATCTTGACTAGGGCAGGGATGCCTCCAGACTTGAAGATTGCAAGGAGCCCCTCACGATGGTGAGACAGGTTGTGCAAGGTGCCAGCAGAGCAGCGAGCTGTCTCCACATCACCAGTGTTCTGCATGGCACGGACAACAGCCGATACCATTTGTGGTGAGCGCATCAGGGCATGCCGCGATGCCTCTTTCTTTGACAACTGGTGCACCATTACCGCTGCTTTATTCACAACAACCTAAGACCGAGAGAATTTTTGTTAGGGGGTTCATGGGTTACTCCACAGGAACATCCCTTTGACATTTTGGTTGTTTGTGTTAATGAGACAATTCACTCATTTTTACACGTACCTGGTCCTCATCATTGAGCAGTTTAGTAAGCTCTGGGATGGCACGAGTGGCCAGCTCAGCATCATCTTGATAGTTAATGAGGTTGACGACAGCATGCTTCAGCATCTGAGAGGGCTCTGCAAGGCGCTGCACTGCTGTTGGGTGGGCAGCATCCAGCTGGGTGGGTGGGATCTGGATGCCCTCCTCCAAGGTCTCAGGGAACATGGCAGCACGTACACGCTGGGCCCGAGTCATGGCATAACCCTCAATGTCTAATTATAATGCAATAAGACATTATGAAATTACAGAAATTTACCACAAATTTTGTCTTCTGTGCTTATTCATAAGTATCTACGGTGCTAAAAACATAAAGACATGTATTAGAATCTCAGATACCTGGAGCCTCAGGAGTGAAGGGCTGGTTAAATTCCCAATCATAGAGAGTTGGATCATCCTCCTCTGCATCAGGATTCCCCTTGCCACTGAGAGATGGTGCAGTGGTGGTAACGCCTGACTGGATGCCTGAATCCAGGTAGGACTGTTGCTGCCACTGGCTCACGGCAGCCTTACTGTCTCCCATTGCCATGTCCAACTCCATCAAATCAGCTACAAAATAAAAGGGTGAAACATGAGGAATAATAGATAAGAAAGAGTATTGTTTGATTTAGTTTCTGACTTTTAGCCAGATTTTATTTTACCCGTAACCTAAGAGGGTATATATATATATATATATTAGGATATATAAAAAGTTATTGATGAAAGGAGATAAAGGAATTGATCTAATTTATTGATGAATTAAAGAGGTGGTTGTTAGGTGGCAGGAAAATGGACGGGGGGGCACATGAAATCAGAGTGAGCCCAAAAAAATAGTCCCATCGGACCAGACTGAAAAGAGAAAAAATGCAAACGAAAACCGTGCCTTCATCTATAACTTAATTTGAAATATGTAAACGTGAAATAAACTCACTACCCTCAAACACGTTGCCTCTATGCAAGGATAACTTACACAAAAGGTATCGTGTTACAATCACTTGGGATACTGTGACATGTGCTCACCTGGCTCCCATTTTCCACAGGGCCTCGAGGCTCACAGCATTTTATTATCTTACGCACGGTCATAAAAATAATAAAACGATGAAGGTCCACATTTGTGTTGACATAAAACCAATCCACATGAAAGAAGATCGCCAAGTTTTTCATACTCACACTGGGTAGCCATTGTTCTTGCCTGCCCTCAGCCCGCAAAGCAGATATGTCTGTAAAATGAAACAAGTCCACAGGAGAAGTGAGACAACTCAGCCTTGACTTCTTCTTCGCCAAAGCGGTGATTTAGTTGGTAAGGTTTTTTTTCCTCTTCCTACGTGGTCAAAGTAATAAAATGTTCTGCTGCCGCCGCTACCTGTGCCAGCTCCCTCCGCTTCAGACGCTTGTTTGGCTTCAGCTAACGTAGCCGTGAGGGGGAAATACCGAAGATCTCCACCTCCAGCCGGAGAGAGAGAGCAGAGCGGTGGGTATTTCCAGGCCCCGCACGAACACAATTCACCATTCAGCAGCAAAGAACATCAAAGGCATATTTCTCCCCCTCCCCCCCATACCACGGCCAAGTTCCGACCTCGCAGCTTGGGTTTCCAATGAGAGAAACTCTCCCCTCCGCCCCGCAATCACTTCCATGACTCCTCCTCTCCTGGTGGCTCTGACTACGAGCCCGACGAGCCGCTCGTTCAAACCCAACCCAACCCCCGGACTAGCTAACCACAAAGGTTACATCCACCAAGTATTTTAATGACATATGATTCAACACCGAGAGCGCTAGCACGGGTTGGCCATCTTCGCTAACAGGTTGGCTAGCTTTACCTTGAGCGCTCGCTCAGCTAGCATAACGTGCGTAGCTAACCCCTCCGCTAGTTAGCTCGCTAGCTAACATAAACAAACACTGTACAGAGCTTCACCCACCGAATTAAAAATCCCCAACACTCGCCCTGTGACAGAGTCGGCATTAGTGGCTCGGACATTAGAATTCATTGCATCGTTTGATTCGCGACTTTTAAAAGAAAACCTCACAAATGTTTAATTCTGGGTTGATTAGCCCAGCTAGCCAGGACGTATGGAAAGTAGATCCAAGCGCCACCGTAGAAAACCTACTGTGCTACCACCAGCCAGATCAGAAAAACCCCACCGGAGCCCCCCTCCCTCGGAAAAGAGGCTTTTCTGTGATAAAACCCCACAGTACCACGATGTTCATGTGTTGTACAGCAGCCGCAGTGAACGCGGTGTCCTTACCAGAGTCGAGCGGCTCCTCCGTGGTTGTTGCGGGGAGATGTTCTCTTTTCTCTCGGCTGAAAATAAGCTCAGAGCTGCTAGGTGAACCACCCGTGAGAGTCCGAACCACACCCGCTGCTGCGCCGCCGAAGATGTTGCTTCCGCCTGCGCGATCGAACATCAAGATGGCGTGGGGAGAAAACACAGTATTCTGCCGCACTAGGAAAAATAGGGCGCCATTTTAAACAAAGTTGTAGCATCGGAACTATCATTTTTCCTGCTACATCTGCACGTTTTTTTTTTTTTTCTTAACAGCGGTCGGTCGCTTCGGTTGTTTGTGATTTTTCACGAAAAGATGCGTGACACTCGCTGCTCTGGTGGTGGGGAGGGCGAGGTGCATTCATTAGAGAGGAATGTGATTCATGAGCTGCTGAGAAACGAAGGGGTTTCACTAACAAGCAGCTTGCACGGGACCACAAACAGAACTTTATCATCCATTTATTTATCCCAATTTATTCATCATCAGGCAAACATGCGGGTTGATTCACAACCACCTCTCTCTCTCTCATCTCATCTGTTTTCACAAGCTGCCACAGAGTTACATTTGAATAAATTTCCAAATGATCAGCTGCAGGAAGAATGACTACACCATGTAGTAGGAAATATTATTTTAACATATTATATATACAACCCATAGTTTGTTTTTTGAAAAACATGCAGTAGCCATAATAGCATGATTCTTTGCTATATAAATGGCATTTGATAGTTTGTATCGTCACATGAACCGATCACTTACTAATGGAAAGCTGCAGTAAACTTAGACAAACGTGACCATGTGTGATCTATATATTTTCGTTGTGGGCAATTTTTCATAGTTGTAATCTAATTGCAGTGCAGATAACAGAATAACATTATATATATTATATCTATATTAACTGATAAAAAATAATAATTTGACTTGTACTATGGTTATGTTAAAAGAAACTTTATTGATAAGCACTGATGTGGAAACAATCAAAACAGAGAATAGTGTCACGCACTGTATATTGCATGTTCATGCGCCTCACACATGCAATAGGCCGGAAGAGGTCTAAGTCCATAGTGTGATTGGAGAGCATATTGTTGCTGTGCAGGAAACAGAGACTTGATCATAATGATCATTTATTGAACAAGATGAAACATTTTCTATTATATGAAAGTGTGACAAACACATGCAAAAGGCTAGTCAAAGATATTCACACAGGTATAAATATTTTCAGACATCAAAGGTAATGACATTTACTTCAGCAACTGCTTTTTAGCCAGTAATTGGGACTTACATCAAAGTCTCAGAATAAAATAATTTGAGGCTCATCCACTGTTTCCCTATGTAGTGACGAGAGGAGCACATGTATTTAATTTATGTGAGTGATGGAAGAAACAGCATGGAAAATAGAAAAGACAATATGCAGAACTAATGTTTGTCTGCCAGAAAGACATAAATCACACTTATATATATACAAATAAATACATACATATAATTAGAGTTATTGATTCTAAGAGAGGGTACTCTAACTTACATTTATCATACTTAAAGATGTGATTTATTGAAGCTTCTCTTTCTCAGGGCGGTTTGAGATGAGAAATGGCCTTTTCAGCAGTCAGAGTCCACAGAGAATGAACCAAAAAAAGAAACAACTTACAATGCAATCGCCCTGAGGCAAATACCTTCATGGTGAGGCTCATCAATGCGACTTATTTTTAGTGCTGGTGAGTATGTCCTCAACAACAATGGATGAAAACTGTTTAAAAGATTCCAAAGTGTTGATATAATTGAATCAAAATTACAAAAAGTATCAAAAAAAGAAAAAGAAGTCTCTTAGATGAGAGGTGACACATCTTCAAGTCAGTGACCCTCATCCAGCCCATCTTGAATAACCATGAAGTGGACAACTGAGAATGTTCACAAACAAAAAACACTATTTTAAGTGTTTACCAAGAAGGTTGTTTTATCACCTATGGTTTCCCTTTGTTTTGTTATTATGCAAAAACTACAGAATTGACTTTCTTTAGAAACTGAGCTGATTTCCGACATGCACTGAACTCTAGACATTTTCCAGAGATTGTCCAGAGGGTTGCAAATGTGAGAACACAAATGTCCTTGTCAGCTGCTCTGGACGATCTTTGGAGTTTTTCTTGTTGTGGTCAAAGCGTTTGACTCGAACAATCTCCTGTAGTGTTCTTGATATGTGAAAGACAAACTCTGGATAGTGTCTAGACCTAATTGTTGGACATTTCCTAGAGTCATGTCTGAAGATGGGTTCAGTGAATGATGGGTCATTTTTTAATGATATTTAACATACATTTTTTAAAATATATTTTCACTGATTTCAAATTAGGGATGTTTAAGAGACTTATACCTATGAGTGTTTTAATTTTGGTGCAGCTTGCATGAATCTGAGGAGAATGTTGGGCCTGAGGTATGCGCTCTACTGCGTGCCATTCTAATTTTTATTTTGCTACTTCAGTGTGGTATCCTCCATTAGCATTTTTCAGTTCTGCCTGAGGAAGACGACTGTATTCACAGCCAATTTTCACCTCAACACCACCTGCTTGGTGTGTTTGGACTACTTTCATCCATCATCTGCTGTCTGCTCTTTGAATACATTTTGCATTTCACACACTCCAAAAACAAATAACTTCAAATTGAGTATTGATTCAGTGTTTTGCGTGCAGCACTTCAGCAGGTGGTTGCTTACCAACAAGGACTCAAAACCAAGTCATGTAGCTGGAGGATCCTCAGCTGCAGCCTGTTTTCATCCATCTGTAATTATTCCCCTTTTTTTTTTTTTGAGCGAGTAGAGGAGGAATGAAACCAAGAGAGGCTGGGTGGATGAATCCGAATAAATACACCTTTTTATTTGACTGGTTAACAGATCTGATTATACAAACGCCAACACAGAGCTCTGAAATAACAGGACCAATCAGCGAGACAATGACTGTACATTCTTGATGTGACCCTCCCGTGTTCTGCCCCATTTTGCCCACCCACAAACCTGCCTGCAGTAACTATGGAACTGAATCACTAGTGCTTCTTTCTGTACAAATAAAGCTCAGCTACACACCCACCCAATCTATTCAGTGCACCGTCTTTTATCTACAGGTTGGAGCAGTACATTTACCACGAAGGGAAGTTTGGCCGATCGTAGAACTGGGTGCCATGATGTACCTTTGGTGCCGTCTACACAGGACGAGTGCTCGAGGGTGAACTATGATTTTGTGGTATTTCTTTTTGTGTCAGGTTTGGTTTGTGTAGTCCAACAGACTTATAGAGTGTGCACGGTTTTAAGAGGCTGTAGTGTAAGAGCATAGTCATGAATTTTTGTTTTGCCTCTTGGTTGAAATGCAAACAGCCAAAATATACAGGTTAGGCTAGGTTGAAGTAACTTAATTTTCTTAATCTGCTTCATTCATTCCCTCTTATTCATTCACACAAGCACACACACAAGCACACTCTCTCTCACACACACACTCACACACAAATACTGGTATGTTTGTCCCTTCATCTAAAAACAAAAAAGACTGTTTGCAATTTTGTTACAGGCATATTTTTTTGATCTCAATCTCTTCCTCTGGCCAAGCTCGACTGTCCCACACACATGAAACACACAACCACACAATCATCCCTATGGTACCTAAATGCAGTTTCTTCAACATGCGCTCTTCAGCAGTTCCTACAGTAAAAACACTAACTGTACCATCACAATAAATGGATGGATAAATTGCTTTCATTCTTGCAATCAATCTTGTCCAGCCGACCCCTCACTTCTTCCCATCCCAACCTCCACACCACCGTCCCATTGGTCCCCCATAGCCATTCACTCTCTGTAACAGACAGTCGTAATAGTAACAAATACTCGCCCTCAGTTTAACAGCCAGGAAGAGAAGAGAAGAGAAGAGAAGAGAAGAGAAAGAGGAAAGGGGAGGAGAATGAGGTGCGGAAGAAGATGCAGGCAGAAGAGAGGGTGAGGTCTTCATCTTGAGGAGAAAGTGAAAGATGGGGGAGAAAAAAAACATGTGCCCATCCCTCCGAATCCCCTACTTCCCTTCTTCTCCACCACAACTTGTAATGGAGAAGGTGTTGAGGCTGGAGGGAGCAGTGACACGGGAGGTGAAGGGTGACTGAGGTGGAGCAGGGGGAGGAGGAGAGCAGGGTGAAATGTGTTTGTCTTCATGTGTCCTGGCCGTCGGTGGCAGGGGTGTCGTTGGCATTGGGTAAGTCTGAGTCCGTCTCCCGGCTGGATATGCGGTCGAGTTCTGCCTGTACATCGCTCAGGCCCAGCTTGGAACCTGTATGATGTGTGGGTAGATACAGACAGACATTTAAATTAGTACCAAATCTCACAGGAAAATAACTCAAAGGCCAACAAGCATTTATCCAGTGCATTAGTGAGTCATTGCGGCACGATGCAATAAGCACATTGAACACATGGTTAAAATAAGATCTGGTTAAAATATGTTAGTTGTATGTATGTATGTTGTAAGTTTTTGTTGTAATATTAGAACAGGGACTTGGATTCTGCACAAACTACTCAACAGATTTCCACAAACACCCCATTAAATTTAGTAGCGGATCCAGACAAGGGAACAATGCATAGTTTTTTTTGCACTCACACATCGTGAGATATGGCATTTTTTGATATTTTCACCAATTTCCCAGGGAATAATACAAGGAACTTGAAAAAACATATTTAGAGAAATTATATCTATGAGTGTGGGAAATTCAGTTCTGCAGAAGTACTGACAACATCAACCTTAGAATAACTGTTATTCAAATGCAGTACATTTTATCATGTCATACCTTCCTCCCTCGTGTTTGTAGGTGCAAATAGACAGATTCTCTATCTTTAAATATTCTTGTTTTAGTTTTTATTGCACTGAAAATACTTAAATATAATTTCTCTTCTTATTGCAATGAGAGGAAGTTATCTTAATTAGATAAAAGCTCAGTCAGCAGCAAAGTTCCATTTCAATTTCTATGTTAGACTGTGTTAAACAGTCAAATTCAAAACACAAAATTAAAAAATTCTTTTTGCTTCAAGTCTTATTTTTTTCCTTTAACACTGGTAGAAATTTAAAGCAACTTAAAAAATGTTTGCACTATCATTATGTCTCTAATGCGGCTTCTAAGTAAAATATTGTTCTAACTATAAAACAT